AAAGCAGGTATCTGGGTTTGTTTAGCTTCTATAATTGCAACATTGTTGCATCCGGAGCTCAGAGCTGGGCCGCAGCAGGTGGGGAACCTTGGCTTCCTCCATCACTGGAGCAAGCAAGCCTCATGTTTGCTTCAGCTGCGTGGCTGCCAGCTGCCATCTTTGTTGGCAGTTAATTTGCATATCCTGCTGATTAGCTAATGGGAAGCGTAGCGGAGGTATGGTTAATTACCATGTTTGTCTATTAGTAAATAGGATATTTTACTTAAAACTCTTCTAGAAATATCCTGAAATGTTAACAGTGAAAACAAAGGCAAACTCTAATTGAGAGATGGAGACCTGAGCCAAAGGGCTATTTTGCTCATTCCTGGTTGATGGAACAATCTGTTTTAATGGGCCTGAGGCTACGGGATATCTTTGAGTTTATTTTCTGAATGTTTGTTGGGTACGATTAACTCAAGGAGGAGTCACATATCATTACCCAGGATTTATTCTAAGGGAGAGCTAGAGGTTTTCTCAGTGGAAACTAAACAATCAGGACTCCGTATTTGGTCTCCATGGTCAGTGAGTCCCTATGGACGGCATTCAAGCTTTTGGGCCAGGATGAATTGCATGCTGTTTACTGGTGGTCAGGAGTTACTGGCTGGATCATAGAAGGCAGAAAGTGGGAGGGGATTGTAGGAACATGGTACTCAGAGCATGGCTTCTTTATCTCCACTACTAACCCTGCCCATCTGCCTCCCCCCTCCTCCCCCCGCCCCACCCAATCAAGTAGTGGCTGGGGCTACACAGGATTGTGTGGGAGGGAGGTCCATATGGTCTTAGGAATACACCAGTGCAGAAAACTGGTGTGAGGCCTGTCTCCAGAGGGTTGGACAAGTTCCTGAGGTGAGTAGGTAGAGGTAGGCCTGCAAAGATTCCTACCCACCACAGCCCACCAGCCACAGGGAAGTTCTACATATAAAAACTAAAATACCATCCTAGCCTGTTTAGCTCAGTGGATACAGTGTCGGCCTGTGGACCGAAATGTCCTGAGTTCCATTTGGGTCAAGGGCACGTACCTTGGTTGCAGGCTCCTCCCTGGCCTGGGCCCTGGTTGGGCTTGAGCAGGAGGCAACCAATTGATGTGCTTCTCTCACACAGATGTTTCTCTCTGTCTTTTTCCTCTCTCTTTCACTCCCTCTAAAAACCAATGGAAAAATATCCTCAGTGAGAATTTAAAAAAATGAAAACTAAAATGCCTTCTAACTCAAAGGTTTTCGCCTACAATAATGATGTTTCTAGAGATTCAGTTTTCCCTCAAGAAGAAAGGACTTCATGATTTGTAACTGAAGTAGAAAAAGGGTTGCTCAGATAGCTCTCTCAAAAGACTGTGTGTGTGTGTGTGTGTGTGTGCAACCAAAGCTTTCAGTTGGGAAGAATATGTTGCTCATTGTTACACAATTTAACACTCTTTGTAACTTAAGCTCACCTCGTGGCTTCCTGTACACTGCAGCCAGGGTACCGAAGTGTTTGTCTATACAGACAACTTGCTGGCGAAAATCAGTTTGTTCTATCTCTGCTGGGATAGATATGGTGTTTCCAAGCCCTCCTTAGATAGGCCTGCATTCCATGGATTGAGTAGTCTGGGGTGTTGGGACACTTGGATTTTGGTTCTCATTCTGCCCTAGGTAACTATGTGATTTAGGGAATTGCATATTATTTATAAAATGGCAGGAAAGAGGGGACATGGGACATAGGCTAGAAACAGGCCTTTTCCACCCTACACAATTCATTTCCATAGAAACAACTAAGGGAGTTGTTCTCAAATATGAGTCCTAATCAAATCAGGGAGAATCGACCAAGTCATGGTGATGTGGTCTCTACATGAAACGAAGTTTTAGTAACACAGGGGCTAGAGGCAATTTGTGTAGGGTTTGTAAATGTAAACTTTGATGTAATGCAATACTACCAAATATTTTTATACTGCTTTCTTTGCCTTCTTATAAATCTCTGGACTGAGAGATTTCATTACACTGACTGCTTTGAGCTCCTATCTTATTCAATGAAATTACTGGAATCTCAGATAGTGTCTCCTACCCTTTGTACCAGTAATGAGTCAGTTATATGGGAGATGGTTTGTGGAGAGCCATTTCTAAAACACAGGTTTGAATTTCAAGGAAATTGACCAAAAAAAATTAACCTAAGTGCAGATATTTTAAAAAACCTTGAAACTTTTTTTTATAACCAACAACTAAATGGGGATAATTTTGCCATTACATAAACTTAACTTCAATAAACTAAAAACTGAACTGCAACAAGCATAATTCAACCACATTATTTTATTGAAAATGAAAAATATACAGAAATACTAATTTAAAATTTGTAAACTTTTAAAAATGAACAGTATTTATAAACATTTGAAAAATAGAAAACTTCATGACCACAGAGTTCATTCAAAATATCTGAGAACATTTCACATATATTCATATAAATTACTTTTCCACAAAGTTTGTTTGGAATGTGAAGATTGCAGTTAGTTCAATTTTATTAAGAAAAATAAAATATTTCTGTCGGAATCCTTTTGTATCGGTTTGTGTTGAGATAGTATAATGATGGAATTCATTTTCCCTTGAGTTACTTAAAAGGAGCTACTGTGACACACACTGAGAAAAGATGAAGAATGTATGAAAACTGGCAACTAATGGTCCTTACCTATCTAGTAATAAGACTTAAGAATTAAGATGTTGATTCAAAGAGAACTAAATTTTATTAATTGCCTCATCTATCAGACATGATGTAGGATGCTTTCCATGTATTTAATTTAGTACCCTTAAAATAAAATAAAGGTGTTAATTTTATGTTGCTAAAGCTAAACGGTTTTATGAATATTTTGCAATCTGAACTAAAAATAAAATCATTAACCATTAACCTAAGAATACAATTTACAAGACCAAAAATAAAATGAAAGCATTATGTTTACAGAATTAGGAAAAGCTTTCTATTTGGCTGTGTGAGGACAACTTTGTAATCCTTAACAACACAAGTGCAGATATTCACATAATAAACCTTCAGATATCATCGATATGAGATAAAGAAAGTGTATATTTTAAATATATACATATGTGAAACTTCCAGTTAAGACTAACATGGTTAGTCTGAAAATGGGGATCCAGCTTTTTATTCCTCCTCAGACAATATATCCCTATTTGGAGAAATTTATTCTGAGTTTAAGGTTTGCAATAACATTTTAGTTTTTCAATGCATATTGAAGAAGCCCACCAGGGATTTTTAGAGTATGTGAAATATTTCATTGTTTCTCAATATATTTCAACTCGTCAAATTTTTCTCAGTCTTTCTCCCGGGCATATATGTCAACACCAGTTTATTTTCCAACCCAGGGTACACATGGTTCTTGTGTTTCAAGAACCCTCAACCTGAACACAATACACCAAGGGCAAAGCTTTGTAACAGGTGACATTTAAGAAACATCTGACACTGAAATTCACAGCCTCAGTGAATTTCCTCACCAAGAAGGATGGACCAATAAAGTTTTCAGTAGGAAAAAAAAAAGTAAAAGGATGTTTCAAACACTATCTTTTCCTACAAATTTGTGTTCATAGCTTATATATCTGATATACAATTACAGTGAAACAGCAGTCAACAGAGTAAATACATATTTGATCTGAGGTATCAACCCATGTATCTTCCATGGGTTATCAGTTTTCAGAAATTTAGAACACACTGAATTGCATTCAACACTAAATTGCTGAAGAGATGATAACAGTATTTTGGGACTTGGCAGTCACCTCAGGTTGTCACTGTGAAATCAGTGATAGTTCAGTAGAACTGATGAAGTGCTAACGCCAGTTTAACAGAATTCTGAATAACAGAATTGTCTATTATTACCCAGGGTAGACATGAGCTAGATTGCAGACAAACATCATAACAGACCTTTATGTTAGAACAGATAAATCCAGTTAACCAGGAGGGTTTTTCTTTTTTGAATGTCACAGTTTTGGGGGGTTAGGATTTTTGTTTTGTTTTGAGAGAAGTAAGTTTAGAAATTCAGCTAATTTCTCCTTTTCTATTAAATCAATGAGTGATCAGAAATCTGTCCATAAACATTAAAGGCCACTAAAAGTGTTATTCCTGCTATGCACTTGGAGACAGGAACACTTTATGTAAGTTTCAATACAAAAATTTTTTTTCTGGTAGTAGTTCCTGAGGTCTTAATATTTTGTTTTCTAGGAAGCTAACTCTCCTTCTTATTCTTCCAAAACACGTATAGGTAAAATATACGGAAAACATGGTAAGCGTGAGAGTCAACAGAAAGAGACAATCTACCAATTATTGTGGTAGGTTATGTATATTTTCAAAAAGGTTTGTAACTAATTATAATTTCCTTAATAAGCTGGAAAGTGCTAAATTTCAAGAGGATGATTATTATAACTCATTCAGGTTTTTCACAAAGGTTCTTCTAGTTGTTTCCAAATAGTTTGTGGAAAAACCAACCTTTGGGAATTAAACATTTGAGAAAAACTGAAGTGTACAATATCATCCTAAAATAATGTAGCAACTGCTTTACAAAAATCTTCATATCAGTAAGAACAAGAACCTTTGGGATAATAGTAAAATCAAGGAATTTTATGAATACAAGGATTTCCAAACTAAACTCACCTAGATGTCTCCAAAAACTCAATTTTGTCTTATGCTGCTCAGGTCTGAGTTAAAAGAACTCATGAACACAATCATTTGTGTTTCTTTTAGTAAAAAGAAAAAGTGTTTCCTTTACTTAAGGTATAAAATATTTCCCTCCTCCATTCTCCCCTTTTTACTTGGTAATAAACTTCTACGATATGTCAATAAATTACAATTACAATCCATAAGCTCTTCATGGACACATATTTCTTTGCATTCTAACACACCAGGAGCAGATTTCCAGAGCCAGCCTATTCTTCTCTTTAACACTCTACCCTTCAGCTACCATCTAGTTTAGCTTAAATGAAGTTGGAAGGGGAGGGAAAGCATCGTGATCTCACTTCTCAGTTTCAATAATTTGAACCTATGACTCATCAGAGAATGACTGATACTCTGCTTATTAGCACACAGTTAAGTTTATCTATTAATTACTATGAAACCAAGACTAGCAGCCAATGAAATGAAGAACCACCTGGCCAGGCCAAATATACTGTGACCAGAAGGAAAGAGATTTCAAGTTTGCAGAAATGAGAAACAACAGAAGTCTTCTGGAGGATGATCAAAATCTTGATTTTTCAAAGATGATGGCCATAAATGAAGGCATTTTTATTTGGCCTTACATCTAAATTATTAGGACCTTAAAAATGTCAACTTCCCTAATAGTTCTGCAGGTATTCCTTCTCCTCTCCAAGTGTCTCTTCATGGTTCAAGTTCAGTGTTTGTAGAGACTTTGATCATTCATGAGTCCTGCTAAACAAGGTAATGTCATCCTCATATCCCGAGGTTGAACATTCTATATTCTCTAGTAAGACATACTTGTCTTCATTGCCATTCAGAGAGAGGGCTTCTTTCTGAGTGGTGGATGTCAAGTCACTCCAGGTGATGTCTGTGTTTTTAAAAGCATGTAGAAGGAAGATGCCATTGATAATGGTGAAGAACCCACTCAGAGTCCCAATGATATCACCAGCTCTCATGCCATACCATTCTTGGAACAAGATGGCGGAGCACGTCACTACCATGGTTGTAAAGAACACATAGTAAATGGGAGTCACAAGAGATGTATTAAAGGTGTCTAGGGCCTTGTTGAGATAGTTAATCTGTGTCGTCACTGAAAGCACAAGTACAGCCAGCAAAACAAAGACCAGGGGGTTCTTGTAAACTGGCTTCCATTCCAATAGTTCTTTAATGGCAATTCCCAGGCCCTTCACAGAAGAAACTGAAAATGCTCCAATCAACGAGCAGATTGAAATGTAGACTAATATGTTGGTCTGTCCTTTCTTGGGAGCCACGATCAAAATCAGCACCAAGGCGATCATGGTAATGATCACAGCAAAGAAGATGAATCCTGTTGGGAAGAGAAAAGAATTAGACTTCAGAAAATGCTCAGGGGACCATGTCTTTGTGAAGTCTTATTAGTCAGGGTTTAGGAGCACAGGTGTTTTAGAAAGAGAAGTGAGATTAAATGAAAAAAAAAAAACAACAACAAAAAACCACCAACAACAATAGTTGACTGCATAGCTCTTTACATTTTCAATGGACTTTCCCAAACATGTCATTTGAATCTCCCAGAGAATACTGTGAGGCATGGAAGATATTGGCTGATTGACTTTTTTTTAAAAAAAATTATTTATTGATTTTTTTACAGAGAGGAAGGGAGAGGGATAGAGAGTTAGAAACATCGGTGAGAGAGAAACATTGATCAGCTGCCTCCTGCACACTCCCTACCAGGGATGTGCCCACAACCAAAGTACATGCCCTTGACTGGAATCGAACCTTGGACCTTTCAGTCTGCAGACCGACGCTCTATCCACTGAGCCAAACTAGTTAGGGCACTCTCTCACACTTTTGACAATTATCTCATCCACAGATCAAAAGATAAGTTGTTCCCTAAACAAATATTTCCCAGTTGACCCCAATATACTTAATATGCAGCCTATTTTCCCATGAATGTTCAAGTGCTCATTTAAAAAATAGGAAGATAATATCGCACTGTTGGGAGAAGAAAAATAAATCACGCTTGTTCAATCACCTTTTGATTCCATAGCAGCTCAGAAGTCACACGGTGGCAGAAGCCACTGTATCCCAATCAACTGATCTGAATGTGCTACGTGACACTGAAAACCCTGATTAGTTTTAAAACACAGAAATGATGGTCAATCGTATCTGCTTAATTGCTTTTATATCTAAAGAGTTAAAATAGACATTCTATATCCCTCTAAACTTCCCATGACCTTCTAAAAAGGGCCCACTCAATTCATTTTCTATTTTTCTATATTTTCCATCTGATACAGTTGGAATATACATGTTCATGAAAATGTCAAAGAAAGATATACACTTAAAGATTTACTCTGCTCAGGACTGATATTTAGCTAGAACACATAAGTACAATCATATGGGTTGTCAAAATATTGAAATATCTCCTTCCCAGCTGCTCCTGCCTGATACTTTCACCTACCCAATGCTCCCACTACTTTGGTTGCCATGGTCTCAAGTAGTTCCAGGTTGGCACCACCATGGACACCAGACTGTGCCATCCTGCTTCTTCACCAGCAGGTATGCTGTAGCTCCTGCATACCAGCCTCCTTCCCCTGATGCCCTGGCATTCCCACCAGGGTATTACCAGTACCCATTTGCACACGAGACTGATCAACTACCAGGTGTTTTCTAAGAGTCGCCCTGCTGTGGCCACTTGTGAGGGCTTCAGCCTCAGCAAAAACATAGCTGTCAGTCACTGTATAGGCAGTGTTCTAGTGCTTTATGTGTATTGACTCATTGAATTCTCAAAACAATCCTACAAAGAAGGTGGAAAGACGTGAGTAGGCCTTGTCATAATCTTTCCACCAGAGGTTGATAATGCATGGAGATACAAGGAAAAGAAAAACAAACAAAATAGTTGCTTAGCTACAAAATAAGAGTTCATGGGCTCATTGAACACATTCATTTGGGATCATAAGAAAGACTAAGAGAGATTAAATCCACATTCTATGAACGGAAATTTTCCTGTTCCCAGCACCAAAAGAAACAAAGAGACCTCCAAACAGAAGTATCCAGTAGTAGATGCAAAACTTTTAGCCAGAGTTGAAATTTAACCCAAACACTATGCTTTTTAAAAGTCCTCTAATAGCACTGGTCATTAACCACTATGACAACAGAGAGGATTAAAAGGGCCGTGGCAATTTGTTCAGGTGAGAGAGAAAAAACAAACAAACCTGCTTCGTTGAATCATTGAAACGTAACACACAATTACTTTATGTTAGCATCAAACCAAGCTCACTCTCAAAGGTTTTCTAAAAAACAGTAAGGCAATCTATTTCCTATTTCTCCTACAATTTATGGTGTAGTCTTCTCAAATTACTTTTGTGATTTCTAGATTTTGTTTTGTGATATGCTTCGCAATATGTTTCTTGTGGGGTTAAGCTTATCATGGTTTTAAAATCCCTACAGAAGCCACACTCTTTATGGCTCACGTACCTGATGAGAACACTCAGCGCACCCAGTGGCGTGACCAGCGTGGCAGGTGCAAAAGCGTAAGCTGCAAAGTTTGCAGCCTCTCCTGCTCCCACTGGAAAGCAAGCAGCAGCATTAGTATGAAAGATGGACTGACTTGTCAGGAGAGAAAAACAAATGACAGACGCAAAGCTGTAGACTCTGATCCCAAAGACACTGACAAGTTGAACAAAAAGGAATAATTAACTCTTTTTAGGAAGGGAGGGGGAAGATTGGTAATAGGGATGCAGATAAACCATAATTACCTGGTGATACAAGCTCAACTAACACAAAAGGTGGTGATGGATACACATCTTAAAGGACTTTCAAGAAAGGTTTTAGTTATTTCACTACCAGAAACATATATGGTCACTGATGAAATCTAGTAGAGGTGGCTTTGGAGTAAGCAGAGAATTATTCTGTTTGCTCAAGAATAACTATTGTTATGCAAATTAACAATAAAACAACTCCTAAAATTGGAATGCCCAGTAGAGATCTACTGCCTAGGCAGGGGACAACCAGACATGCCCACCACAGGCCCATGTAGCCAGGCTTCTCTGAATTGCAGATGACCAACAAGAATGTAACACTATCTTAGTAACTCAGGGAGATCCAAGCACCTGTTTTAAAGTCATAATAATGTGCTCCAGCAATCCCTTTTTTAGCTGGGGAACTCTAAACTTCCATGAGCTAGTGTGATGCAAATAGCTTCTAGAGTGAGAGAAAACTCCTCTAAGAGCTGGGTCTTCTATTTGGAGCCAAATTATTCTCATGGGTCACAAATGAACACCTGAACACTTACCCACGGAATGTAGGATTTCATGCTGGCCAACTATGCAAAATAAACTTATTGTAGAGAAAGTTCTGGAACAGATGAAAGAGACCAGCATACTTTTTTCTTTTCTCCTCTGGCTGCTATGCCCCAGGCACAAGCCCCCAGCCAAAAGTACAGGAGTACTTAGCTTTAGGAAAATATCATAAGACAAACAGAAATAATTAGGAGACTCCTCTCATAAGAAAAGCAATGGCCGTTTTCTTAGAATATTAAGCTTTCTTGAATACTTTATATTTTTATCTTTATAGATGACTTTTCAAGAAGATAAAGGACTGTACAAATTTATTTTTATTCATCATCTTTTTAGATTCTGCCATTTGTCAAAAGTATTCCAATTCTTTCTTATAATAGGATCTCACAGATACTGCAATAGTACAGGAAAAGAAATGGAAGTTTTAAGGTTTCTGGCTACAGACGTAGATGACTAGCAACTGGTGTGAAGCTACAATGTATGAGGCCCTTTCTTTGGACGTCAGAAGTTTGGGATTTAAGAAAGTTCAGAGGCATTAGGAGGGAGGTAGAAATCTGCAGAGGGGCCTGAGGGAGGTAAATGCCTTCTATTTGGACATCATCTTGGCATTTAGAAAGAACTTTCAGATGCTACAGAGTCCCATTTAATCCTCAGAGCACGTTTAGGAGGAAGGGGAATGCTGACAACCTGCATCTCTCCCTTTCAGTGATTTTCAACCTTTTTCATCTCACGGCACAAATAGACTAATTGCTAAAATTCTTCAATACACCAAAACAGATATTTTTTTTGCCCATCTGACAGAGAAAATAGGTATAAGTTTGATTCATTAACACCAAATGGCTATTGTTGGGTTGGCTGTTGTTATTTTATTTATTTGGCAATCTAAGGGAAAAGAGGTCAGTGTCCCTGACCAAACAGTCAGGTATTGCATGTTTTAAAAATTCTAGCGGCACACACCAGGTGAAAACCACTGCTCTATCTGTTTAGTTGCCAAGCAGTCAGAGGGGACTTGAATTTATCCCTGTTTTGGTCCTGGCCCGGAAAATGTACCCATTCCTTAGAAAATATGTAGTTAGAAGAGTCCCAAATTTTAACTCAGTGCTGGGAAAATGTTGGGGGAAAGCATTTTCTTCAATTATTATGGAGAACAGGATAAGAGAAAGAGAAGTCCATGATAAAAATAATACTTTACATGTTAACTTTTCCCTTTGTATTCCAAGATAGTATTGAGAACATGGAGTGGGGAAGAAGGGTAAAAAGAAGTTTTAAATAAATATGACTTATTTTATATATAAGGCAATATGTTATACTTGCAAAAGTTGCTAGACTTAAATGCCATCCTTACCAGGCAGTTAAATCAATCAATTTTAAATAATTCCATGTAATCTATTTATCATTTTGCAAGCAAACACTATTCTCAGCATTAAGGACTTACTTGAGAGTAATCCTGCCCACCAGAGCCATTCCTTGAGGTAGGAATGTCCACCTTGACCTAGGAAAATAATAAAAAAGAAAAGTTCTTTTTTAAAATACATTTTAAAAATATATTTTAAAAAATATTTTTATTGATTTCAGAAAGGGAGAGGGAGAAATAGAAACATCAATGATGAGAGAGAATCATTGTTCAGCACAACTTGTTTTGGGGATCGAGCCTGCATGTGCCTGACTAGGAATCGAACCGTGACCTCCTGGTTCATAGGTTAATGCTCAACCACTGAGCCACACTGGCTGGGCAAAATTAAGTTCAAACGTGAAGGAAGGTTGGAGAATTGACTTCTAACTACTGGAATATGGTTGGAAAAGGCAAGATAAAAGCCATGTCAGTATACTTAGTCTTTTAGCCTATTTTCGTGCCCATTTCCAAAGATCCTCTAATACTTTCTAGTATTATATTTTGCAATATTTTACTCAAGTCATTTTCTTTCTAGTTTAGGTGTTTAGTTATAGGTGTTGCCATATAGATTTTTTTTTTCAATACAGATCATCTCTTCCTTTATATAGAATAGTTTCTTCTTTTATCTCTATGCTAAAAAGGCCCCCCCCCTTTTTTTCATTTTTTTTTTTAAACAGAATTTCTGGAGGATAAGGCCCAGAAATCAGGATTGTTTTTATATATATTTTATTGATTTTTTACAGAGAGGAAGGGAGAGAGATAGAGAGTCAGAAACATCGATGAGAGAGAACCATCGATCAGTCGCCTCTTGCACATCCCCCACCGGGGATGTGCCCGCAACCCAGGTACATGCCCTTGACCAGAATCGAACCTGGGACCTTTCAGTCCGCAGGCCGACGCTCTATCCACTGAGCCAAACTGGTTTTGGCCCCCCCTTTTTTTTTAATTTAACTCTAACCTTGAATGAATGGTATAGAGTAGAACTTTTATATTTTCTTCCTCTAATTTTTGCCACTTGTCTCAATACTTTTGATTGAATAATACATCCTTTCTCCAGTAGCTCAAAATACCACTTTAAAAAAATCATACGTTAAATTGTTGAATGTACTTGGGTCCCCTTAGACATTTTTAATTATCTTTTATTGTTTTGTCTTTTTAAATTAAGATAGCACTATCGCATGTAGTATTTTCTGGTGGTATAAATCTCCCCTCAATAGTACTCTTTTATAAACTTGTTTGCACAATTTATAGTTATTTATTTTTCCATATGAACCTTAGAATAATATTTAGCTCTGTTATAATATTATTCTTGATAAGAATGAATATGAAATTCATGGTTAATGAAGGATAGTCAAGCAGAACTATTTAGCATGTTAAATGTCAGTATTAACAGCAATCTAATTCTATGACTATCCATTTGATTTAACAAGTATTTATTGGGTGGCAAACACTATGCTAGGAAAGGCTCTTGTTCTTGTGACTCTACTATTAATAAATAAGTAAACCCATTGACAAGTAAACAAACAATAAACGTACAAGGACAAGTTATTCTAGGTACAATGAAGGAAACTATTAGTGCAAGGACAGAGCATGCTGGTGTGGGAGACCTGCCCAGGGAGATGGTCAAGGAAAGCCCTTTTGGGGTGATGGTATTTAAGCTGAGATCTCAAGGAGGAGTCAGGCAAATGAAGGGCTGGGAGAGAAGAGTTCCAGGCCGAGGGGAAAGACCTGAGGTGGGAAAGAACTGGGTATATTCTAGGAACCAGAGAAAAGTAGGGTGACTGGGAGCGTAGCGGAAGATGAAGCTGGGGAGGTAGCAAGGACCAATTCATGCAGGAGGTCAGAGTCTGTGGGAAGATGTTAGATTGTATCCCAAGCGTGGGATCTGACTTTGACCCTGATCCTGCAGAATAAAGCTATGAAAAGAAGAACCTGTACTAGACTCTAAACCTCTAGAAACAAGAATTTTAGACTCCCTAAAGGAGACACAGCTGGTTCAATCCTGGAAACTGCTGAGAAAAGAACTGCTACCAATGCAGATAGCTACAATAAATAGACAGGAGCACGATGATCTTAAAATAGGGTTATTTTTGCAGTTAGCAACTTGAATTCGTTAGTTGCATCCGTTTCTTACCAGCTCTAGTAACGCCCTTGTTGGCCAGTTGCAAGAGGCCTTTCTTTTTCAATATGAAGCTGGAGCCAATAAAAATACTGGAACTTACAGCCAGGCCCAGGCCCACATAAAGACTGTATTTGTTTTCTACATTTGCAGAAGTGCTCAAGTTGGTTAGGCTGGAATTCAGGTCCCTGTAGAGGACAGGAGAAGCCAGCAGCTGTGACACATTTGTGATCTCACACCACGCCTGGGAGGAGTTTGGGCAGACCAAAGACAGCACGTAGCCTGGAAAAAAAGGGAAGAAGAAAATGTCAACAAACAATAGGGAGATGTGTTCATGTTTACTCCCCTTCTGCAAGAAAGAGAAACTTGAGTGGACAGCACTGAAACTCCATTTTCTATTGCATGAAGGGAAGCGCCCAGCAGATGGTGCACATGCTTGATTTGGCTGACATAGGTCCTTAAAAAATGTTTAAATGTGTTTAGTTTTTATTATTTAAATATGAGTCTGGGCTCCTCTTATAAATTGGAAACAGCAGTAGTTGGTTCTTTGTTCTAGAAAAACAGTAACCTGCTCCAGCAGCAGGAAGCTGCTTAGGTCTGGCTTGCGCTCAGAAATTCATCACAGTTCCCAACTCCCCCCACCCCCCCTCCCCCCCCACTTCTCTCCTTCACAGTGTCAGTCTGTCTCCTGGAAAGCAGTGTCTGTGACACCTGAATGTCGGGAAAGGGAACAGCAACCCATTGGGCCAGAAACCACCACCTTACAAGAATTTAATGCATTCGGTGGGGTATGAATTGTGCACTTCAAAAAATGTGTTTAAAAATGGGTTCCATCTTCTGTACCACATTCCCTGAAGGGAATGATTTTTCAGGCCCACTAACCCACCTTTGCCTAAATAAAATAGAACCTGAGAGAAAAATGAGTTCACCATCATTAGGCTTTATTTTAGAACTAGAGGCCAGGTGCAAAAAATTTGTTTCACTGGGGAGTGGTGGTGGGGTGGGGGGTTGTCCCTCATCCTGGCCTGTGCCCTCTCACAATCTGGGACCCCTCTAGGGATGTCTGACTGATGGTTTAGGCCCAATCCACAGGGATCAAACCTAAACTGGCAGTCAGACATCCCTCTCGCAATCCAGGACTGCTCACCCCTAACCACTCGCCTGCCTGCCTGCCTGCCTGCTCACCCATAACCGCTGGCCTGCCTGCTGAGTGTGCATCATAGCAACCAGTCATTCTGCCTTAATGGTCGCTTCGGCTTTTTTTAAAAAATATATTTTATTGATTTTTTCACAGAGGGGAAGAGAGAGGGATAGAGAGTTCGAAATATCGATGAGAGAGAAACATCGATCAGCTGCCTCCTGCACACCGCCAACTGGGGATGTTGCCCGCAACCAAGGTACATGCCCTTGACTGGAATCGAACCTGGGACCTTTCATGCCGCAGGCTGATGCTCTATCCACTGAGCCAAACCGGTTAGGGCTCGCTTCGGCTTTTATATATATAGATGGGATTCAAATAAGTATGTAAAGTTACTGAACACAACCCATTATTATTGAAAGGAGTTTTTAGGGGTAAAATAGGTTTAGGGAGTCTTAGGAATTAAGGGGTCCATGGGGGAGGGAGGCACAGTTGGTTGGGAACTTGAAGCTGGCAAAAGGCATAAATTCACAAAGAACAGAAGGGGCCACAGAATAAGGGGAGAGGAAGACACCCATTCACAGAAGATAAGGGGAAAGCCACAGGGAGTAGAGAAACAAAAGGGAGAAAGAGGAAAACAGATTTTCACAGGGTATAGAGAATTCTACCACTGAAGGGGGGAGAGAGAAAGAGGGTCCCCATGTAGGGTTTGAGCTTTGAAGCTGCTATAGTGACCAATAAGAAGGGAGCATCAAAAGACAAAGAACTGCAGCCTTTATAAACCTTAGGAAAAAAGGACTCAGTGGACTACCCCTTTGAGGACCCCTTCTCCACATGGGAGTCTGTACTTGTTCCCAATCAATTTCCACCTTTTCATATACCGCCTTTAGTCCGTGGCTTCACTCTTCGAATCCACCTGGGCAAGAACCCAGGAAAGAAATCACCTTTGCTTGATGCCCAGAAAATATGATGTTACTACAGCCAATCTTCTTCATTTGGGAATTCACACCTGGGGTTTCTATTTGAAGAAATGATCTTTTGCAACTCAACCTTTGTGATGTGTTCTTTTCTTTTGCTTGGGGTGTGCAGGGGGAATGGAGTATGTTTTTGTAGTCCATGTATGTGAGCAGTATCACCCTGGTATGATGTGCATATTAAAATTCACATCTTTCCATTAAAAACAAAACAAAACAAAACAAAAACACACCACGTGTTTCAGTTTGGCTTCCGCATTTCATTATATAAGTACCTTGGAATTTTAAGGCTAAACACTAAAACACCAAATGGAAACATCTGACACTATATTGCAAACTTTTTTGTAATCTGTTCTCTACTTGAAAAGCTGTCAACAGGTGACATCGTGATTAGATTTTTTTTTACCGTCTTCTCAACTTTTTTTTCATTATAAAGCCACATTTTCTCATTTTTAATTATCCTAAATAAAAAAGGGCAAAGAAAAATTAATCAAGTAACAAGTTTAGAATTGAATTAAAAAAATCAGTTTTATATCTCAAAAGTCTTAAAAATGCCTAACAAGCTAAAACAAAACAATAAAATCAGTTTGATCAAATGATGTCTTACCAACAAAACTTTAATAATTGGATGGATGCCTCCCGGTCAAACATTATGAAGACATCTGAATTTTACTACATATAAAGTTATGAAGCAACCAAAAAGTTCAGATCAAGAAAAAGGTAAAAAAAAATGTGAATTTAAGATTTCCACGATTATTATTTCACTTATCCCTGCAACTTGAAGATGAATCAACTTTGATTCAGAGATAGAGGATAAATTCTGAGACAAAACTTATATTCTGAGGAAAATTGTATTACTTCAAGGATATTCTATATCATTGACAAATTTTCAGTCAGGTTGTCTTACTAAGAACTGCAGTAAAGGCCAGTCCTAGCCGGGCGCAGGCCAGGCCGGCCTCGGTGCAGGTGGCAGCATGAAGTGTCTGGTCACAGGCGGCAACGTGAAGGTGCTGGGCAAGGCCATCCACTCTCTATCCCGAATCGGGGACGAGCTCTACCTGGAGCCCCTGGAAGACGGGCTCTCTCTCCAGACCGTGAGCTCCTCTCGCTCTGCCTATGCCTGCTTCCTCTTTGCCCTGCTCTTCTTCCAGCTGTACCCGGCGGCCACCCCTGGTCAGGACCCACTGCGCTGTAAGATCCTGATGAAGTCGTTCCTGTCAGTCTTCCGCTCGCTGGCGATGCTGGAGAAGACAGTGGAGAAATGCTGCATCTCCCTGAATGGCAGGAGCAGCCGCCTGGAGGTCCAGCTGCACTGCAAACATGGACTGTGAGTCCCTGCAGGCTGTCTTCGACCCAGCCTCGTGCCCCTATCTGCTCCGGGCCTCAGCAAAGCTTCTGGGGGAGGCTGTTCTGCCCTTCCCCCCTGCACTGGCTGAAGTGATGCTGGACATTGGCCATGGTCGCAGGGTCATCCTGCGAAGCTACCAGGAGGAAGAGGCAGACAGCACCATCCAAGCCATGGTGGCTGAGATGAGCACTGGGCAGGAGGATTTCCAGCAGCTGCAGGCCGAAGAAGGGGTGGCCATCACTTTCTGCCTCAATGAATTCCGGGGGCTCCTGAGCTTCGCAGAGTCAGCAACTTATTCTTAGCATTCACTCTGATGCTCCCGGCAGGCCAGCCATCTTTGCCGTCAAGGGCTCTCTGCTGGATGGCCACTTTGTTCTGGCTACAACACTCTCGGAGCCAACCCCAAACTCCCAGGACCTGCACTTCCAAGAGCCCTGCCAGCCAGCGCCTCAGCACCAGGCCCACAGCACCCCCCAGCCGGATGACTTTGCCAGTGACGACATTGATTCTTACATGATCGCCATGGAAACCACTGTGAGCAGTGAGAGCTCAAGAACACTCCCCTCCAGCTCCCTCTCACCTGGCCTCCAGCCTCCCTGCGACGTTGTAAGGTATTAGGTGTCAGCACAGAATCTAATCACTGAGGAGAATGAAACACACCAGATCAGCTATAAAATAACGGTGCAAGTTAACTGAG